GGGGGGGGGGGGGGGGGGGGGGTCGGTAGGGCCCCGGAGGAAGAGGGCAAGGTGTTTCGTTGTAAGAACAAAGACATGCACGATGCATGCCAACGTTACGCCCTTAGTCGCCATCTGCACCCTTCTTCTGCAGTTTGCCCTCGCCCATAACATGGTCATTGTCAGCTTGGGAAGCGGACCTTTGCAGGGCGTGATTCGGCGGCTGTTGGCCGGTGGCAGGCCGAACGACGGGCGGCCGAGGGAGGCCGTGCTTGGCGAGGATAGCCCTGAGCTTCTTGTTCTCCGCTGCAGCCTGGCTCCTGTTGGCGGCGGCTGAGCCGTAGACGTTCTTGAGGCGGACAACCTCGTCCTCGAGGGACTTGACGTAGAGCTCCTTTCGTTCACGGTGCGTTCTACGAACGAATAGGAGATCAGTTCACGTATATTTCCCGCAAGAGTAGACACGTTCAGTGAAGCCTTACCGCTGAGCCTGTCTGTTGAGTTCCTGCCGCCTGGTAAGGGCCGGTCTGCTATCAGGCTTGGGACCTCTCTTCTTGGGTTGAGATGTGCCAGCTATATGGATGTTGTGTTAGCGGAACCCGGAGCCATTGTGCAGTGTATCATTCCCAGTCCGAGCATCTTTCAAAATATGTCCGGCCCAGATGACTGCAGATACCAGAGTATAGATGTAGAACGGAGAGGGGAGACCAAGATGGAACAAACGTACAGCGACTGATCTGCTTCCCCCCAGTGAGCTTCTTCAGAAAGCCAACACCATGCGATCCGTCGTCGCGGCCTGCTCCAGACGACGGACTCTGACTCTGACCGGCATGACTAGCCGTCTGATCCGGTGGCGAGACAAAAGGCATGCTGGTGTGTGCGTGCGCGTGCGGGTATGATATTTGTGTATGATGATAGGAAAATCTCCCGTATCGTGACGGTAGTTGGGGATCTGGGGTAGACAACTATCAAGGAGAGGTGCGCATTGCCCCGCAAGTTCTGGTTCGGTAGTGATTATCTCTCTTGTCAAAATGACGCGCTGCAGCGGTCCCAAGATGAGACACACAGCTGGTTTGTTCCCTCCCACCTCGCGGTCTGTAATTCGTTCAAGTCAATTACGATCGGGAAAGGTATGTTCAAGATGTCGTCGTCGTGAGTCATCAAATGGGATAGAGACGGAGAGGAGAGAGAGAGGAGGGAAAGAGGACTGATTCCTGGGGAGAAGAGAGAGCGAGGATAATGTGCACGTTTGAGAATGGGTGCGCGATCGCCTGATTTTGATTGTGTAAGCAGAGCCACCGGCCGATTTTAGGAGGGAAGAGGTGTGGGTACGATGAAGGGATTCACACAGTGCTCATAACGAACTTGATAGGTCAGTCCCTCGGCATCAGCTATTATGAGTACCGTCTACAAACCCGTCATCCACGTTCTGTCTTTTTTCTTTCTTTCTTTCTTTCTTTCTTTCTTTCTTTCTTTCTTTCTTTTCAGTCTTCCTTCTTCTTCTTTCACTGCTGTCTCGATTGTCTGATTTACCTTTGCCATCACTTACAACGTTACAACGTTGTGTGGATGGCCGGCATAGCCTGCAGGATCAAGGCGTACCAGTAAACATGTAAACAGCCACCATGATGGCATCAGCCACTCTGACATGAGCAGGGAAATCATCGCCAGACAGGATTGGATAAAAACTCAAAGCAGCAAGGATACGAGCTGTATAGAGTGCCATCGTCTTTTTGACTCCCGCGAGGCAGTGCAATATGTGAGACGATGGTTGTCACCTCTGACCACCCTGTACTACCGATACAGACACTGAGTTAAGCTTCCAACTAGCATCGGTAGTATTACTACGCACACAAGATACGATGTATAAGACGAGAGGCACATAATTTGAGATACGAATTTGAAATACGATATTTTTATTAAATACGGCGCTAGAAGTTGTGGCTGTCCCGCTTGTTGAGACCTTCTCCAAACCGCAAGGGATATAATATATAAAAGCCCCCCCATCACTAGACCATTCCTCTAGAGTGCATAGCCATGCATGGGTCTTTTTTTTTCGGGGTTTTTTTCTAGGGTTTCTCTTCTTCTTCTTTTTTCGAATATTTCACTCCTTTAAACTATAAAGGTATACGGGGAAATCAGTCTCCTCAGTGCATAGCTGGAACTAGTCCGAGGTGGGCTTCAAGGTCCAGGACTCGGTGCCCTGGGCAAAAGGGACGCCGAGCTCAAAGAGCTTGGTGACGACGGCGGAGAAGTCCTTGAAGAAGGCGTCGTTGTCCTTGGCGTACTTCTCGACAAACGGCCTGAACTTCTTATCCTGGACGAGGGCCATGTCGGTGGGCAGCATCATGAGCGACTTTGTAGCCTTGTCCTCGTACTGCTTGGGGCCGTTCCACTTCTTCCACTGCCACTTCTCCTCAATGAGGAGACGGTAGTAGTCGTTGGTCAGGACGGTGGGGGAGAAGGTCCAAGGGCCGTCGAAGCCTGAGCGGTCGGTGTGGCACCGGCCCAGGGCGTGGGCGCCCGAGAGGGCGACGATCTCCTGGTCGTTGAAGCCCATGCGGTAGAAGATGGCGCGCAGGTGGTCCTGACCCTGGGTGGCGTCGGGCAGGCGGCCGTCAGGCGTGCAGTACGAGACGTCGCGATCGGTGCGGCCGGGGCGGTAGGGGATGATGGGACCCTGCATCTCCTGGACGGCACAGACGCCGCCGAGGATCCAGAGGTCAGAGTAGGTGATCCAAGGGAACTTGGCTGTTTTTTTTTTTCCATCTTGTCAGTCTATAGCTTTCTTTTTTCTTTCCCGTCATTCAGTTTTCCTTCCACTTTCCCAACTACTCCAGCTAAAGGGGAAAAAAAAGAGAGAGACGACATACCCTTTACGGGCTCGAGAAAGTCACGAGCAGCGACCAGGCCAGCATTGGCGCCGTGGGCGGACTCGGGGGCGAAGCGCATGGTGGCACCGTTGCTGCCACCAGTGCCGGTGGAGGCGTCGTAGGTGCCGCTGGCGTGCCAGGCCAGACGGAGGAGGACGGGGCCGAAGCTGCCATCGTCGTAGTCGTCCTTCTCCTCGAGGCGGCTGGCGATCTCGTCGTAGACGGCCTGGTAGTCGGCCTGGGTAGGCTTGAAGGTCTTGGTCGAGGCGGCCGAGGGGCTGGCGCTCGAGGTGTAGTACCAGTATCCGGCGCCACCGGCGGCGGCGGCGGCGGCGAGGCCAGCAAACAGGCCGCCCGAGCCCGACTTCCCGGGAGCGGCAGACGAGTAGGAGCGGTAGCCGTTGTTCTGACGGAAAACCTGGCGAGGGGCCACGGCAAAGGCGTTGCGAGCCGTGGTCCTGGCGGCCGCTCGGGTAAAGGTACGTGCGGCAGACATCTGGATAGTAGTAATGATTCTGGTGAGCTCACTGCGTAGAGTGCTGTAGGTAAGTGAATGGTTGGCCCAATTCTCACTTTTGTGATTTAAGAGATTGATAGGGACAGATGGGAACGCTGTGTGTAAGAGGAGGCTGAGATAGAAAGAGGGAGAGTAAAAAGAGTGTAGTGCTGGTTCAGAATAACCGAGAGAGATGGAAACCGAGGGAAAGGGAAAAAAAAGGGCAGCTGCTCTACGGAAAGCAGAACCAAGCCAAGCCCAGCCGGCAAGAAGAAGTCCCGCTCCCTCACACACACACACTCTCTCTCTCTCTGTGCCGTCACGTAAACCCAACCAACCCCCCCCCCCCCCTTCTCGGGGCTGTTTGGTATGAGACGGGCGATATGGATGAACAATTGCGCCATCGTGATTGGCTCCCCATGTCCTCTCGTCACTGTGCATGTGGGTCCACCTCCGCCTAACATGGTAAAACGAGGTTCCAGTCTGCATGTACATGTACTGGTTGATCTTGGTACTCTGGCCTCCCGCTAGTGCTAACCTCAGTGACCTTCCCGGTAGTCCTGGTGGTCCTGATGGCCCTGGTGGCTCCTCTAACGCGCTGTGGGCTTCCATGGCCCATGGGTAAGTCACCCGTAACGGCTAATAACCGGGATCCTGGACGTGATTTTCCCCGCCCAGATGCCTCTTACCTGTACAGGCAATATTGTTATATTACGGAGCTGTACGGAGTAGAGACTGTGGCTGGCATACAAGTAGACATTTGGAATCATCCATCTCGGATATCCCTAGCGGACACAGTATGAAGTTGTGTCCTTTTTTTTCTCTCTTCCCATATCCCAGACCATCAAAGGTGGGCTCATGCCGAGAACTCCCTAGACCATATCATCTTTCTTTCTTTCTGTTTTTCTTGCTCCATCAGCAACCGTGATCCCGACTAAGAACTCATCAGTCATGACTGAATCCCAGTCCCTACATCTTCACTTCACACCCTCTCTCTACCACTATTCAGTCATTCTCTGCTTGCTAATCGCACGCGCGAATGTCAACAAAAAAAAAGTGAATACATCATGAATCGCCTTCTTCGCACGCAAGTCTTACCAGATACTTTACCGAGATGCCGAACCGCCGAGATACTACCCATCCATACAGGCTGATATCACATCCCGTCTAACCTATCAGTAAAGGAGTAATGTATTGAAACAGACATAGGCCTGGATGAAACCTCACTTGACTACGGAATAGGATGGAATAGACGGAAGCCCGATAGACTCCGGAAATATTCTTTTTACCTGCTACTAGATATTGGTAGCTACTATTGAATCAACGTAAAACTACCTTATTCATCATTGTCAGGTGGCTTGCCAAACCAAACTCATCGGCTGCGCCTTGCAGCCAAAGGCCATGGAAAATCTAAAACAATTCAACCCAAGGTCCAACACACACACGCAACACCCGGGCGAGGAGAGAAAACTTCCTCCCCCCAAGGTAGTAACAGAGGGAATTCTTCAAGGCCGCGTCCTTAGCAAGACACGATACATTACCTCTGTGTGTCTCGCTCCTTCTTCCACTCTTTCTTCTCTTTTCCTTCTGGCCTCACCAAATCACCCTAGAGCTCCGATAGACAGGAGAGGAGTTTTAATAGTACAGAGACGCCATATCTCTTTCTCATCACGGAAGGAAATCGCTTCTTCTTCTTCGTTCGCACCTAGTTCTTCGAAGAAGCAGCCTTGCGTCTGGTTCTTCTTCTTCTTCTCTTCTTCTTCACCTCTAGTGAAATTCAGCAGGACCTGGGCCCTCAATGGGCTCACCGTGCATTTCGTAGAACATGAGTCGTCGAGACTCAGCCTTGTACCGGGAGGTGTCGTCCAACTCGCCTCTGCTGGCACCATTCTCCTTGGCCGTGGTGTCGAGTTTGGGAATGGTGGAAACTGACGTGGGTCTGGATTCGTAACGTGTCAGTGCATGCGGATGTTTTTGCTCCCCCTCTCCCAAGGAAGTAGAGGTTCGACTTACCCAAACATTTCACGGTCTACCTTCAAGAAGGTCTCCATGGCGTCCTTGCCGCCGTCCTGGACAAGGTAGTCGAGGTACGCCTTGCTGAGCTCCTTCTTCACAGCCGCCGACAGACGGCTCTGCGTGCACAGCGCGTCGAACACGTGCTTGACGCGGGTGGCGTGCTCGGCCTGGGACGGCGGCTGCTCCAGCTCGAGACGGAACCAGCGCTCCCAGAAGATGCGGCTGTCAGCGTACCACTGTGTGTTCTTGACGAACAGGGCACGTGCCTCCTCGGCCGAGCCCTTGGCCCGCCAGAGCATGTACGCCCACTCGGCCACCAAGGCCGCCTTGGTGTACAGATCCACGGTGGGCGCCTCGATCTGGTCCCGGTAGACCTGGACGGCGGCGTCAAGCCCGCGCTGGCGGCGCTCCAGGTTGGCCCACGACGTCACCACCTCGGTGCAGTCGGGCAGGCGGAGCAGGATGGCCCCGTGGATGTCGATGGCCACGTCGACGCGGCCGCAGCTCTCCTCAAAGTACGCCCACTGCAGGCGGATGCCCGGTCGGCTGACGGGCACGAACATGGTGCTGGCGCGGATGTAGATGTTGCGCACCTCCTCCGTCTTGGCGGGCTGCTGTGCCGCCATCCACCGCGCGTAGCGGAACCAGTACTCGTCGTACAGGGCGCACGTCGTCAGGCACCGCTCGTACAGGCACACGATGCGCGCATAGTCGCCCTCGGCCTCCTCGAAGTCGAGGTACTTGCGCCAGTTGCTCAGTTGCGAGTGCTCCAGCTCCGTGACGTGGAAGTATGGCCTCTTAATCTCTGACTCGTACGTCCATCGCTTCGATACCTCGCTCTGCGTTGTCGTAAAAACCTCGTAGTACATGGCGTCAATCTTGGCCCGGATATCGCGCTCCACCTCGAGCTCCGGCCGCGCGCCGCCGGCCCCTTGCGCCGCGGCTTCGGCGTCCACCTCGGCTCGGAAGCGGTCGACCACGTCGGCCGGCGCCACGTCGGCCAGGGGGCATGTGTGGGCGAGGGTGCGGAAACGCTCATAGTACCGCGCGTACTGGTGCATGGGGATGCGGATAATGCGGGCGTGGATGGCGTAGATGCGGTCCTGCGCCTCCTGGCGCTCTTCGTACTCGATGTACTTGTCCCAGAAGGGGTGCGCCAGAAAATCCAGGCCTACCAGGGCAGCACCGCGTTCGAAAATCCTGTCGCATCATGTCAGAACACCTTGCCGAGGCACCACGGTGATTCAAGGGTGGGGGTGAGGGGGAAGGGGGGGAAGGTTCAATACAGCGGGGGGACGGCCGTGAAAGTGAACAAGTCGTCAAGGCGGTATAGGTGTTTTGGACTCCGGAGGGGCAGCAAGTAAAAGAAGAAGTACGAGGTATGCGGTAGTAAGGATAGCGACGTGAGGTTGAAGAGCGAGCAGGGAGACAACATCAACAGAGCCTGGCATGAGAGAACGTGAGAGAATATCCCGTCAGGGGTACAACTTTCTGCAGGCCTGATCTCACCATCCATGCCGTCGACGGTGCATGCAGAATGGAATGCGCCCTGGTTCCCTGGGTTCCCGACTCTTTCAGTCATGGCGAGAATGGTGCGTGATTATGTTGCCTCGGCTTCTTCCTCCTCTTTTTTTTTTTTTTTTTTTTTGGTTTCTCTCAAGATCGTTCCTCTCGGAAGAATAGGTTAAGTGCAGGGGGGAGGGAGGGGAGGGAGAGGAGGGCGGTCGGGTCCAGCACAAAACTTACTCTCTTACGAGCTGCGGATCGTGAGTTGTGTCCATCTTGAATGCGCAGTACTCTGTCCACAAGTCGACCGAGTTGGTGATGGTGGCTACACCTCTTTCGTAGACCTAACGGCGCCCCCTGTCAGTTCTTCTTCTCTGTTCATGCCGGAAAGGAAGAGTTGTGGTCTTTGTTTTTTTCCCCCATACCATCTCAGCCGTCTCGGGACCGGCAATGTTGAACTCCATATCCGCATACTTCTTCCAGTATCCAAACAGAAGAGGGAATTTGAGGAGGAATCGGTCGTAGGCATCGCGAAAGGCGGCGAGGGCATGCGGGCTGGAGTTGCGATTGAGCCCGCCTTCGAGGGCTTCGCAGGCCTTGATCAGGTTCTCCCAGTTCTCGAAGCTGTCCGAATCTGCCTCCTGTTGGTTCACAAAGGTCAATTATCAGTAGTCACGGACAGCTTCAAGCCTGCGCTCGTGATCGAATGGAAGCTTCCGATGACGGCAAGAAACGTACCACGTCGGCATTGTGTTTGCGCACAGCTGCGTACTCTTCATCAGAGCCGCCAAAGTGCCCAAAGTCGCTCATTGTATGGCGTCGAGGAGTGCGATTCGTTTTAGTCTCCTATACAATATGATTATGATATCGATGATGCGACGCTCGTTCTTTGTGGATCGTGGATGATGTAGGTAGTTGGTGAATTAAGGCTTTTGTGAGGGGGAGAGTGAATGAATTGCACGACTAGGCACGACAAAACAAATCGTCAATTTCTTGGTGGTTGGGGGCGCGCACCGCGGCCAAAAAAAACACAGAGAGAGAGAGTGCTAGAAGGGGAGATACTTGAGTTTTTCGTATCTTTTTGCATACGATTTGGTTCTAAGGGTACAAAGCTGAGAAGGTCACTCTTTGTCGTGCCAAAGACTTTATGCACAGACTGGGGTTATCTGCCATTCGAAGCGGCTGAGTCATCGTCATCCACAAGCAATTTTACTGCTACCATATATTCGCGTTCTATCAAGTTTTTTTCTTCCTCTTCTCTTCTTTCTCTCCCATATTATGGCTTATGATGATACTCAATAAATCATATGATAGGAAGAGAATGAACGCTGTCCCAGAGGATAGCATGATCTCAATACGGAATCTGAAGCCACCGGTTCAAATACAATGTCTTTGCGCATCTTCTATTTCCCCTTCTCTCCCTGTTCCTTTTTCGTCTCCAAGATGCATCCACAATGTCGATATATCTTCCGATAGTCAACTTCCAATGCCGACAGCCACACATAGCCAAGGTGCAACTGGCAAGACACGTCATCTCTATACAAGTTGGAAGCAAAGACGACAGGAAAAAGATGTGCGATCAAGTGATCCGCTCTTCTTTGTTCCCGTCTGCCAATTTTCTACTTACCTACTATACTACCACTACCCTTTCGAATTCTCCTACCCTGCTCCTCCCATTCGTATCATGACGATACGTTCCGTCTGCATATGATAGAGGCATAGCCACGTGAAACCCCACACCTTCAAAAATAAAAATAATAATCATTCATTAAAATAACGGGGGAATGCCCCCCCCCCCCCCCCGATATTCACTGCATGAAGGTGTGTCCCTGAGCAGGGTAGTGGTCCAATTTCCAAACGTCTTCCAATCGCCTTCGAGTCGTGGACGCTCCTCAGGCTCGTGGGTTATAACGAGAGAGTGTTCCACTCTTGTCGAGCCTTGTAGTCCATATTCTACAAGGCAGATGTGATTTTATCTCTATCCGTAGCATAATTAACAGGGTCGTGTTAAAAACGCTCGATAGAGATGCATGAGCCGATTGGTTCTCAGCAGCGGGGTGGCTCGGAGTGTCATTTCCTTGGCAGGCTTGTATTCGGAAGCCCTCTTGCTATTGTCCCGTCTCCTTTGTTCATAGTCATCGAGACGTCGGCGAAGCACCTCCATTTCTTGGCGGTGTCGTTCATTCTGGTCTTGGGGTTGTTTTACCATCAGACCCCAGAACTTCGCCTTCTCCCGCGGGAGCTGGGATGTCTCGTGGCGGACCCATAGAGGACTCGAAATTGAGCTTTATACTCATGGTCAAGCATGGCCGTACACCGAGAGAGAAGACTGTGGTTCTCCCTCTTCCTCTTGGCGTGTAGGAACGGTTTCTCGTGACGGTTGCGAGGAAGGCCCAACCTCCTCACGATGAGTCGGGGGTTCTCCTTCCTCATGAACACTGGCCCTGGTGCTGACCATGTTGTCTGGGCTACTTCATAAGAAGATTCAGGATTGTCATGAGTTTCTCGTGGGTTCGCAGTAACGAAGTAAGGCAGACGTTCGACGTGGGGTGCGGTTATATTCAAGACGGAATCTTGAACCCTTTCATTACCTAGGAAGGGATCCCTTTCTTCATGTATTCTTCCTCCTCAGTCACGTAACGGTGACGTCTCGTTGAGGGGCCGGAATGTCATCATGAAGGTTCTCCATCACTTCAGTCCGTAGCGGGTGTGCTGGCTACCCGGTAGCGTGTGGCGTTGTGGCACAAGGGTGTGACGATTAGCTAACAGGTCACACAACTCACCACATTTCGTACTGATGATGGGAGTGGAGGGGCTTGGTCACGGGAGTTGAGCCCGATTGAATCAGGGAAGGCAAAATGTACAGGTATCAATAAAAAAAGGAGTAGTCATATTATGTATATTACTCTCCCATCAACATTGATACTTATTGGAGACAGACGCATTATCCATGTACCTCGTTACGCAGAACCAGGGGCCACTTGAAGCTGATGTGTATAATCATTGATTGTCAAACCTGCTGGTGTGTCCACCCAACGCAACGTAGTCGTCAACAAAAAAATCCAAACGAGCAAAAGCAGGGAAGCTTCAAGCCCACTGCATCATAAGCGGGCACGCAGGACGAACCCTCCACCTATCCTCTCCTCCCACAAACGCATGTCACTTTTTTCTTTTTTTTTTCTTTTTCCAGCGACAAACTCTCCGTTATCCGATTCCGTCTCTACACCGTCAATCGTTCTCCATCGTCCATAGTTCCATAGTTGGCGCCGGCAATGGGAGGAGCAGTAGTACGGTAGCAGCAGCAGCGGCAGCAACCCATATTACCTGACGTCAACTAATAAATCGTCATCATCATCCCGCCCACCCCATCACCGCCGAAACGACAGCTACGACGACGACGACGACGACCACCACCACCACCACCCAATGGACTCCGGTCTCCCGCACGCCGCTGGCGCCTGGAGCGCCCAGGCACCAGCTCCCGAAAAGTCCTGCGAGCTCTACATACGTGACTACCCCCACCGATCCATTGCCATAGTGTCGACCTCGCACGTCCTGATCCTGCGGTACAGTTCGGTCAGCAACGACTTGACAACCGCCGGCTTCCACGGGTCTCACACGTCGCTCGCGTCGTCGACCAGGACGGCGGGGAACAGCACGCCGGCAAAGTGCATGGTCGAGTTCTCCCGCATATCCGAGGAGCTCCTGCGCGAGTACAGGCCGCTGGCCCCCCGTCCCATCTTCGGCACGCTCGGCCTCATCACCGTCGAAGGAGAGGTCTTCCTGGCCGTCATCTCACACGCCGCCAGGGCCGCCACCGTCAGGCCGGGCGAGACGGTCGAGAGGATCGGCGGTGTGGCATTCTACTGCCTCAGCAGCGCTGACTACGACGACGTTGTGCCCCTGGATGCTCTCGAGCAGGGCGACGTGTCCGACGCCATGTCCGTGTCCGGCCAGTCGCCCTACGGCGGCGCCGGCGGCCAGAACCTCGGTCGTCGCGAGGTCGCCCTCGAGCACCCTTGCCATGAGCTGCGCAAGCTGCTCAGCAATGGCTCCTTTTACTACAGTACCGATTTCGACGTGACGAACCGCGCACAAGACAGGTGCGTAGTAGTAGCAGTACCAGTAGTACCGGCAGTTTTCGAGGTGCAGTGTCGCATGTACTGACTTGTATAAACTCTCGGGGAAAAAAAAAAAGGCCCATCAACTCCAACTCCTTCGACATTGACAACTTTGACGATGCGTTCCTGTGGAACTCGTTCATGATCAGCCCTCTGGTGCAGTTCCGGTCATGCCTAGGCGGCCGGGAGCGCTCGGCGCTGGACAGATCGCGGATCCTGACGTCCGCCTTCCGTGGTTTCAGCGAGACCATGACGATACCGCCGGCCGCGTCGCCGCTGCGGGCGAGGTCCGGGATGCCGTCGTACATGACGCTGATATCGCGGCTGTCATGTCGGCGGGCGGGCACCCGGTTCAACGCGCGCGGCATTGACGACGACGGGCACGTGGCCAACTTTGTCGAGACGGAGACGACCTTCTGGAGCCCCGCAGGCGTCTTCTTCTCGTACGTGCAGGTGCGCGGGTCCGTGCCCGTCTTCTGGGAGCAGGCGGCGGACCTGGTGCCCGGTCGGCAGAAGATCACGGTGACGCGGTCGCCCGAGGGCACGCAGCCGGCGTTGGACAAGCACTTTGAGGAGCTGGAGCAGACGTACGGCGCCATCCACGTCGTCAACCTGCTGAGCGAGTCCAAGTCCAGCGAGGTCGAGCTCAGCTCGCTGTACACCAACGGCATCCGCCACTGCCCGCTCAGCCGGCCCAGCACCGAGGACTCGTCGCCGGACAGCGTTCTCCTTCGCGAGACGCGCTACGACTTCCACGCCGAGACGAAGGGCCCGGCCGGGTACGAGGCGGCGAGGGGTATCAGGCGGTACATCGAGGACTCGATCGACGCCTTCGCCTACTACCTAGCCGAGGAGCGGCACGACGTGTCGGCCAGCAGCAACAACAGCAGCAGCAGCCTCAACGTGCTGGACGGCGTGGGGTCGACGACGCTGCCGAACAGGCACCTCGAGGCCGTCCAGCAGCAGCAGGGCGTCTTCCGCACAAACTGCCTCGACTGCCTGGACCGCACCAACCTGATCCAGACGCTCATCTCCCAGATGGCCGTGGAGGCCTTCCTCGGGCACCGGGGCCTGTTCGCGGCGTCGGACTTTTGGATGCGCCACTCGAGCCTGTGGGCCGACAACGGCGACAGCCTCTCCAAGATCTACGCGGGCACGGGGGCGCTCAAGTCGTCGTTCACGCGGCACGGCAAGATGTCGCTGGCGGGCGCCGTGGCCGACATGCGCAAGTCGGTGCAGCGCATCTACCACAACAACTTCATCGACCCGTCGCGGCAGATCACCATCGACATGCTGCTGGGCCGGCTCGTGGGCCAGGCGCCGGTGCACCTGTTCGACCCGATAAGCGACTACGTGTCGGCCGAGCTGGCCAGGCGCAGCCCCGAGTACACGTCGCACCGCGACATGACCATGTGGGTCGGCACCTTCAACCTCAACGGCCGCACCGAGGGCGTGGAGGAGGACCTGTCGCCCTGGCTGTTCCCGCGGCAGATGGCGGCGGCCGAGGCCCAGCCGGAGATCTACGCCGTCGGCTTCCAGGAGATTGTCGAGCTGAGCCCCCAGCAGATCATGAACAGCGACCCGTCCAGGCGGGCGCTCTGGGAGGGCGCCGTCCTGCGCACCCTCAACCGCCGTCAGGCCTCGCTCGGGGGTGAAAAGTACGTGCTCCTCCGCAGCGGCCAGCTCGTCGGCGCGGCCCTCTGCATCTTCGTCAGGGCCTCGAGCCTCGGCATGATCAGGAACGTCGAGGGAAGCGTCAGGAAGACGGGCATGTCCGGCATGGCGGGCAACAAGGGCGCCGTGGCCATCCGGTTCGACTACGCCAACACGCACATCTGCTTCGTCACGGCCCACCTGGCCGCCGGCTTCTACAATGCCGAGGAGAGGAACAGGGACTATGCTACTATTCATCACGGACTGCGGTTCCAGCGTAATCGGGGGATCGATGATCACGGTACGTTTATAATGCCTTTTCTCCCCCCCCCCCCCTTTTCCCCCGCGTTAGTAGCTTTGTTACAGGGGCTTGCTGTCCCCACACTGTGCGCTGGTGGGCCTTTCGCTTCTCTGAATCGCCTTGCTTTTACCCCCCCCCCCCCCTTTTTTTTTTTTTCTTTTTTTCTTCTTTCTTTCTTTCTTTTTTTTGCTGACGCTAACCCCCCACAACCTTAGACTCGGTCATCTGGCTTGGTGACTTCAACTACCGCATCGGGCTGACGTCGGAGATGGCCAGGGCCCTGGTCAGGAAGCGCGATCTCGGTCTCCTGTACGAGAATGACCAGCTCAACCTCCAGATGGTGGCGGGGCTGGTGTTTCCCTACTACTCGGAGGCGCGCATCAATTTCTTGCCTACGTATAGGTTCGACATCGGGACGGACGACTATGATACTTCGTAAGTCTCCCTCTCTTCTCTCTCTCTCTCTCTCTCTCTCTCTCATACAACTGGACAGAGAGTCACGGGCTGACAGCGTACTGGCATGAACAGTGAGAAGGCACGGATCCCGGCATGGACGGACCGAATCCTGCGAAAGGGGAGCAACCTACGGCAGATTCTATACGACTGCGCACCGCTGCGGTTCTCGGACCACCGGCCGGTGCACGCGGCGTTTGTATGCCGGGTGAGCATCGTGGACGAGGCGAGGCGCGACAGCATCAGCCAGGAGCTGTACATGCGCCGCAAGGCCGAGGGCGTAGACGCCATGACGGGGCTGCCGTCGTCGTCCCACGCAGGCGGCGGCGGGGCGGGCTCGGCGGCGGACGACAGCGACGACGAGGAGGACCTGATCGGGTACGACGCAGTCGAGCCGGGCCTCCCGCCGGCGAGCTCGGACCGGAACAAGTGGTGGCTGGAGAACCGGCAGCCGGCGCGGGCGCAGGTGCCGATCCCCAGCGGGCGGGACGGGCAGCCGATGGTGCTGAATCCCAACCGGCCGTCGAACCCTTTCGGGCACGGCGAGGAGCAGGACTGGATCTCGGTGTCGAGGTCGTCGTCCCGCGCGTCGCTGTCCAGCCTGTCCAGCTCCCCCTACGAGAAGGTGATGCTGCCGAGCATGATGATGAACAGCTCCGCGTCGTCGACGGCGCCGCGCCGACTCCCGCCGCCGCCGTCTTCGTCGTCGCAGGACACCGGCAGCGGCAACGCGGCGGCCCGTACGGGACGGATGAGCCTCGCCTCGGGTGGTGGCCACCAGGCCAGCAGCAGCAGCTCCACGCCTCCGCCTCCGCCTCCGCCCCGGAGACAGGGGACGGGTAACAGCGCGGCGACGTCGCCGTCATCTCCGGCCCAGGCGGTCGGCGGCGGTATCCCGATGCCGGGCATGCAGACGCAGATGATGCAAGGCAACATGGAGCCTCTGGTGCCCACGCGGTCGGCGGCGTCGCAGCCGGCAGCCAGCTTCCCGGTGGCGACCAAGACCGCAGCCGGCAACGATGCAGCGGCGGCAGGCCCAGCAGCGGCAGGCCCAGCAGCCAAGACGGCTCCTCCGCCGGTGGCCAAGAAGCCGGCCCACCTCGTCACATCGCCGACGCCGACGCCGACGCCGACGGGCGGTAGCGGCGTAGGCGTAGGCGTCAGCAGGAGTCAGGCACCGGGACCGGTTGACCTGTTGGATTCCATGGATGAAGGTGGTAGGGATATGGGTGGATGGGAGACACTTCAGCCGAGCAGGTGAGATGGGATGCCTAGGGGAAGGGGGGAAAGGCTAGAACAGACAGCATTATAACGGAAGCGGAAGGCGTTTCGGTGTCTTTTTTTTTTTTTTCTTCTTCTTTTTTCTTTCCCCCCCTCTTTCTCTCTCTCTCTCTCTCTCTCTATTTTTTTGTTGTTGAATATTTCTTCTATTTTTCTCTTCCCTTGTCAATCTATATGTAGACTTGGTTCATTTGGTTAGGCTTTTTAAAAATTTTTTTTTTCCCCGAACTTGGACCCGACGTTTCCTTTCTTTCGCCGATTTGGGGCGTGTGTGTGCCAGTGAAGGTGATGGTGATCTAGCAAACTAGTCAGCTGCTGCACGAATGCGAGATGCGAGAAAGCAAGGGCCGGCTGAACCACGTGACCATGGTATGGCCTAAGGCCCCCAACAGATGACGTATGAGATGAGTGTGAGATGAGTACAGATCTGCATCGCATGCCTGAAAGAGTGAGCCGAAAAGCAAGAGAGGCAGAGAGGAGAAGGAGGAAAGCCAGAGACGAGTTGTGGGCAACTGGAATAAGTCAAAGTCAGGTCAAGTGCCGAGCGATGTGTACCCATGCAGTGTCTGCATGTATATATGCATACACTAATATAATCAGTACGCTATACCCGTACAGGCACAGACCCGTACAGACACAGACCCGTACAGACACAGACCCGTACAGACACAGACCCGTACAGAACACAAGAGTCACAGATGGACCGTCTCCACCCCCATCCTAGACGAAAGAGCAAGAAAAAGGGAGGGAGAGAGAGAGGGAGGGAGAGAGAGAGGGGGAGAGAGGGAGGGAGGGAGAGAGAGAGAGAGAGAGAGAGAGAGAGTCAGAGTGGCATATATGTAAATGTACATCTGTAGTCATATGTACAGATTACAGATTAGCCAGACATCATCAAAAGACGAGATATTACGCCCTACACACAGGCGGTAATAATACTGTCCATATCGGAGGTTTATAGCATATACAAGATATATGTACAGTGTCTGTACAATGTATAATATATATATATATATATGTACGAGTATGTACAGTATGCGTCTGTACAGATTGACTCCGTAGTAGGCTGACCATCGCAGCAAGTGGTAAAGTGGTAATCTGTAATCTGTAGAATCAACCAACCCCCCCCTCCCTCAGCCGCGTTCGGTCGACCGCCCTTTCTGTTAACGGTAAGGCCGCCTGATATTCCATGTCTCGTGACAAGGAAGCATTCCCGGTCGCCGCAACTCTCACGCGCTTCTTGTCCTTTCTCACTTTCTCCCCTTCTATCTCTCTCTCTCTCTCTCTCTCTCTTGGCTCTCTTGCCTCTCTATAATTCCTCTCTCCATCCTAAGCTCTCCCCATTCTTGTCTTGTCTTGTGTGTCTCTTCTCTCTTCTGCGGCTCTGTTCAATCTCCGTCATCTTATTCTTCCACCCCCCATCTGTCTTCTCTCTCTCTAAAAGAAAAAAAATACTACAAAAAAAACTACCGAAAAAATTACGGGAGACATACAACGACGAAGGGGGGGAGGAACTCGGCACTTTCGACTTTCTTAATGAATACGAGGCGGTACTGTTAACTACTAAACGCCTCTTCTACGCCACCCGAATCTCTCTCTATATACTATCGTTCTTCTCAAGACAGATTTCGAGGCCATCCCATTCCTCTCTCTCTTGTTTTGAAGACGAGAAACGCCCTTCTTCTCTTCTTCTTTCCCATTCCCCACCAACGCATCTCCATCCCTCCCTTCCTCTCTTCAAGTCAAAAAAAGCATGATGGAGTGAGTAGTGAATCACGAGCAACAACAACAACGACGACGACGACAACAACAACGACAACACATAACAACGAAACAACAAAAGAAGAACCGAAATTTACGACCATCAACGATACCCCCCCCCCCCCCCCCCCCCCCC